CATACATGCATACATATCTGACATGAGAACAGAAACATTTAAATAAGACTTAACAATAAATAATAATGTGTATGAATCTGGAACAGAAGATTTATGTACATATTTGTGCATTATTTACTCTCTATATACAGCTGTATAAAAAATATGCATATGTATTAGTACTTGAGAGAGAGGCAATAATTAGAGATGGAGAATGAATTACAGGCATGAATTACAGAACACAGGTAATAATTCCTGTGTCAGCTGTTTAGGCTGGAGATGGCATGGGGGAAAAACTGTTTTTATGCCTATGTTCTAGTGCACAGAGATCTGTAGCGTCTGCCTGAGGGGAGAAGTGCAAACAGGTTGTGTCCGCGGTGAGAGGGGTCTTTGATGATGTTACCTGCCCGTTTCTTCACTCTGGAGTTGTACAAGTCCTGAAGATTGGGCAGGTGGACACCAATGATCCTTTCTGCTGTCCTAACAGTCCGCTGCAGTCTTCTTATATCTGATTTGCTGGCTGGTTGTTGTGACTGCACCAGAAAGTCAAGGAAAAGGTAAAAAGGAAAGGAAAAAGGAAAAAACTGGCTAAAGCAGAACAGGACATGGAGAGACAGATAGTTGACTTTAAAGCTGGCAGGGCACTTGAAGAGAGTAGAGTCCCTGATATTCCTGTACCTGTAATGTAATGTATTCTGTTAATGTATTGGCTCTTCAAACACAAGGGTGTTTGCCTGGCAATGGCCTACAGCACCAACCCTGGTTTGGAAAATTGTTGGATGCTGTGTTTTATGTTTGTTTGAATAATGTCTATTTATTGCACATATTTAAGGTCTTCATTCACATATTGGCTAGTTAACAACTCATAATAATTCATAATAATGTCTAGGGCTGCAATTTAGCTTTTGATTATCAATTAATCTGATAAAAAAGGCTGATTTTATTTTCTATATTTTTATAGAAAGAAATATATTCCACATCTTGCACAATATTGTCCTTCAAATACTGATGGCTTTAAAACAAATGTAGCCTAGTAAATGTAGTAAATGTGTCTACAGTATATATATATATATATATCGACAAAACAGAAATACACAAGCATACATAACGTCCGGGTTGTTGATGTAATGACCGTTTTGTTTGTTAGATAATGCCAGAACAAATAAATATTTAAAATATTTACATTTTCGCCAGTACATTTAGCTCCAATATGAGTATTTTAACGTTTCCTCGGGTCAAATAAATCTTAATTACCAACAAGTGTTTTTAGAGAAAATCGTGCATGAGCCCTACTTGAATGGCTTGGGCCGATTTGGCTCCCCAAAAACATGAGTCTGGACTTTGTGGTAAATGTGATCTTCCTGAAACAGTTGAACATATTTTAATAAAATGTAAAGGATATGACAACGAAAGAGTACAACTTACAGAAGCACTTCATATAGAAATAAATCAGATCTCACTTCAGAAATTGTTAAATAAAGATGTGACTATAATAAGAAGAAGATTTGGCTCCCCTGTCGGCGGTATTTGATCCTGCGTGATGCGTAAGAGGCTGCTGCCCGTCTCGGAGTCAGAATTCTTCGCTATCAATGCGTACAGGGGCCATATTGTTGATGTGTCACCTCGGGAGGAGATCACTCACACGGACTTGACACTCATTATTTATCACGGCAGCTGGTATATGCCATTTTAAATGGATTTAACATAACCGGTAAGTCACATATTTAAAATAAAATGCCCAGATCTCAAATACAATAGCGAATGTTTATTTAATAAGCCTGAAAGCTAAGTCAATGGGTGAACTCAATGGCAGCTGGCTGATATAAGTTATTGTTATTGTCAGTGTTCTATACCTTTAATAATCTATAGGATTAGTATAAACACTCTGATAACAAGCTAAATGCCTGGTTATAATCGGTTATGGCTGTTAAAACTCATCTGATCAGCTTGTGAATGTTAGGACTAGATCTCCACCACACAGCTGATTTTGTGTGTATTTTTGTATTTGTAGGCATTTCAGTAATTGACCATTCTGTAATTTGTTACGTTAATACCGTGTCTGTTTTAATTCGAGTGAACAAAGCAGATACTTTCTCATAAACACGTAAAATATGATATACTTGGACAGGTTAGCCAACATGCTAAAGCTAACTGCACCTGTGTGGGGGATAGCAGTATCTGTCACCGGACTTATCGCCTCGAAATGAATAATACAATGATCATTGCAGCTCTTATTTGCAATTATTCCTCTTTTATTGCTAATTATAGATCAAATAACGAGTTTGTTGCGAGAAAAGGTGGCAGCGCTGGTTTTTGTGGACTGGGCACTGCATCCTCCCTCTGCAGAAGAAATACACTTACAAATATGTATGAGACTGAAGATAACAAAACAAAGACAGATCAAATACAGATAATAAAGGGGGAAAAAGGAAGTTAACCTGGCCAGGAAATTGCTTCACTCATGAAAACTCATGTGAGTCAAAAGCTGTTTTCAAAAAAGTCTGCCTAAAAGTGTGATAAGGTTTGTCATCCATTAACAGCGTGTCAGAGTGTCAGTCAGTGAGAAATATTAAACTTTTCAGTTTGGTGCTAGTTGACAGTGGAGAATGTTTGCTTGGAGAGAGGCATGAGAAGCTGGTGACCTTTAAAGTTTTAGTTATTGGCAGCTGCACATCTTGTCCTACTACAGACAAGTCTTGTTTCTCAATCAGTATGTGTGTACTTTGCAAGAATACATTTTATTAAGGATATTAAAATAATTATTACTTCATGATGAGAAACTGTAACTTGCTGTAGTGTAGTGTAAACCTACTGTATGTCTGTATGTAGTCATTTATGCTGATACTGAGGTCAAGGTGTTTTATATAGATAGGCCTAACATATTTAACATTTATTGGTGTCAAAATCAAAAATAGATGTACACAAAATTGCTGATATGCAAACTTACTGTACTGTGCTGTACTGTTAGTACTATACTGGAAAAAAGCTGTTTTACATATTTCATATTGTTTTCTGTTCACTGAAAACAGAAATTGTATATTTTCTGCTGACAAAGCTGTTGGTAAAGTTTGTGTAGTAGATTTTGTAAAATATTACACTGGTTATGGTAACCAGTATTTTCCGTCATTAACCAAATTTGAAAAACATTGACAGATAATTAAAAATGTTTTTTTTTCTACTATTTTGACAGGTAAAATGGGATATACTGTGTTTTCCACCTGTAAAATTCCAATTCCATTCCCACACTTAAAGAGGCTTAAAGGGATCAGCAGTAAAAATGAGAGAAAATGACATTTTTATTTCCTCTACAAAAATCTTCTCTTTTTTTTTTTTTTTTTTAAAGAGAAACG